GTCACGGGACTGATGAAATGTAAACAGGGAATCCTCGATTGATGATGGCTATTGCTACCCTTTCGTTTCACCTGACATCTCTCTGATTGTGTGAAACCATGAATGGAAGCCACAAGAGTCCGGATGAGAGATGATAAAGGCTTACACTAAAGTAAGGACTATAAGGACTGAAGGGGAATGGGCTCAAGGAATTCTCTAGAAATGTTGTCAAGATGAGGAATAGGCCACTTTCTCTGCTTTCAAATTAGCCTGGGAAAGGAGCAAAGAAAAGCAGAACAAACCCAGAGGTTGTCTAGAACTATTCCTGGGAAAGGACCACAACCTGGGTAGTAGGGACAGAGGCCACCGGAGGGCCTGTTGGAAGAGAGCCCTTAAGTTCTACTCTTTCCTCTCCCCTGTACTACACAGGTCCTCTGACAACATCCTGAAGTGCTGAGAAAGTGATCACACAGGTCAGACTGGAGCAGCACCCAGCAAAGCACTCAACAGGAGAAGGAACACTGAGCACAGAACTGTGCTCTGAGGGGGGAAATGGGAAGCCACTGGGCACTGTGGAGCCCAAATATCTGAGGCAGCTAAAAACAAACATCTGACAATGCCTGGAGACATTTTGGATTGTCATATTGGTGTGTGATGAGAGGGGTAAGGGTATTGTGCTGGCATCTACTGGGCAGAGGCCAGGATACACAGCTGCCCCCAATGAGGAATTATCCAGTTCAATGTGTGCTATAATAAAATATGTAACTGTTGATGTTACTCCTGATTCCCAAGTCTAGAGGAAGCAGATGGCAATTAATTGTACAATAGAATTTATGGAGACTGGCAGGATAAAGGATTACCCAGGTCCCTGAAGCACAAAGCATATAAATGCTCTCATTTCATATAACTTCCTTAAATAATGTCATATAACAACACCCTTTGTGGGGATAGAGAGATAAATCAGCAGTTAAAAGCAACATGACAGCTCACAACTGTAACTTCAGTCCAAGGTGATCCAATGCCCTCATCTGACCTCCTCAGGTACCAAGCAGGTATGTGGTGCACAGACATACATCTAGACAAAACACCCATAAACTGATGTCCCTATAGATTGATGAATGGTGACAAGGAGTGCTCCACTCCTGTAGACTGATGCATGGTCACAAGGAGTGCTCCTGCACACTGCCAGAAACAAGGACGGATGAGCTACTACTGCTTACCCTCCTCCAGTCCATGCCCTCTCCACACTCAGTTCCCTGCAGTCCTTTAAGCAAAACACTCTCCAGCCCTTCCAACCTGGCTACCTTTCTCAACTGGTAGGAACAAAACTTAAAGCTTTTCAGCTGTCCCTCACCCTGGAAGACCTCCTCTCTGCCTTCCTTTGTGCCAACCCTGAACTTTGGAAGGCAGCTCTATTCACTACTGTAGCCCAACACCATCATCGAACTTTGGACTTACTCTCTGGCACTTTCCATGGCTCCTTTATTATAATTTGATTGTGAACCCTCTTGAAAACAGGAACTAAATCATCCCCACCACCCCTCTCACAAAGATTAGTTAGGGCCTAGAACACTGCAGATACCTAAGGTGTACTGCATGAAACAAATAACAACAACAACAACAAAAAACCTGGCAGGCATTGTTACAAAATAATAAAAAGCCATGCCTCAACTACTTATCCTTTATTTTTTTTAAGTTTTCTGCTAGATATAGTAAATTGATAATCATAAGGAATATGCATCTTGAAGTATATGAATAAATTAAGGTCTGTGTGTCAGAATATAAAATGTCTGATAGTGTTCAAAAAAAGTGTCCTCTGGAACTTCTGGAAATCCATGGTTTTTTGTTACAGTATATCATTTGACAAAAGAGCAATAAACAATAAAACCAAAAATCAAACAGGGGGAGGTTTCTCTGTGTCTTTGGAGGCTGTCCTGGAACTAGCTCTTGTAGATCAGGCTGATCTCGAACTCACAGAGATCCCCTGCCTCTGCCTCCCAAGTACTGGGATCAAAGGCGTGTGCTACCACCACCCAGTGAGAAACCCTTCTCAAAAAAAAGAAAATGTTAGGTTCCAGGGCAAAACCTACTGGGGGACATTCTGAGTCTATTACCCTGAATTCCCCAGACAGTAAGTGCTCACTGAACTTGTGGAATGAGTACTCAAGTGATCTGATACTTTCCCCCCCTCTTCTGTCTTTGAGACAAGATATCACTACAGTTGGCCTTGAACTCCCAGAATGCCTTTGAACATTCCATCCCACTTTCTGAATGCTTGAGATTACAGTCAGACACCACCATAATCAGCCTACTTGTCTAGTATTCACAATCACAAAGAAAAATGTCTACACCGTAAGGGAGACAGCTATGTCAAGAGTTGGGGTCACCTGGAATATACACTTCAGATAAATCAGGCAATCTGCTCCAGGCCCTTAACTTTTCCCTGTACTTAGTACCCACATGTCAGAAGTGGTATTCTTGGTGAAAGGAGCAGAAAAGGAAAAACAAAACAAAACAACAAAAACCTCTATGAAACTGTAAGCTATCTCTCTGTATCCTTTCTTTTCTCCATATCCCATGGTTCCCTGGACAAGAAGGTTAGGAGTTCAAGGCCAGCTTCAGAGAACATAGCAACTTGAAAGTCAGCATGGCCTACTTGAGACACTGAAAAATAGCAATAACAAAGAAAGAGAGTTGCAGTCTGTGATCCTCAGAATAAACATCAACAGAATCGGGTAAGAAAAGGATGCCCTCATGAACTTTGTCATGGAAACCAGATACACACACCTGTAGGTCCAGGTACTCAGGAGGCTCAGGTGAGAGGGTCATTTAAACACAGAGTCAGCAACCAGCTTGAGGACAACAGAAAGACACTGAATGAAACAAAAAGAGTATGGGGAACTAAAGAATAAGAGCAAATATTGTTTATGGACTCCAGAAACATATTGTTGAGCTTAATTTACTCTTCTGGCATGCAGTTTTCAATCAGGAAAAGAGATGATTTATAAGCAAAAAAAAAAAAACTAGGAAAAAAAGAACTTTATCATCTCTTAGCTATCTGTTCATTCATTCACTTATTCACTCATTCTTGTGCTAAGGGTTGTTCAGAATGCACATGTGGAAAAGAACAATGCCTGCTATTAAGCAAGTCCACCCACCAGGAGTGTAAAATACCCACAAACCATCACACAGGAAAGTTAAAGTCCCTTGGGGAGGTGCAAAATAAACCTCACTGAGAGATGGGAGAAATCCCAAGAGGCTAGAGTCCTCTGACTATAAAACATACTATCTGAAAACACTGCACTATGAAGAGAAAAATCACATTTGCTAGTTCTTGGTATCTCTTACTGAGCTGATATCTTCCAGATTATCTACCCCAGCCTTAGGGTCACTGGCATCTTCCCAATTACCACAAGTTCCCATTACCAGGGAATGAGAGCTAATGGTGACAACTAATCCGTGCAGGACACTGAAATGGGCCAGGCTCTCTCTCCCCATTGCTGTGTGGTCAACCAATGACTCCTCTCAAAGCCCTGCAAGGTAAGCAGGTTGGGGGAGAGAGGTGTAGAAGACTGTTGGTGATTTTTTTTTCTTGCATTATTTATCTATTTATTTAGTGTGTCCATGTATGTGTATAAATGTGGGTATGCATGCATGCCACAGCACACATGTGACAATCAGAGAGCAGTTTGGGGAACTGGTTCTCTTCCATTGTGTTTGTTCATCTTGCCTTGCCTTCCACCCCACTTTTTTTTTTTCCTATTGTTGAGAACTGAACCCAGGGTTTGAGCCATGATGATCATAACATAAACTCTTATACTGTGCTTCAGTACCGAGATGGTCCTCAAATAGCACACAAGAATTGGGTGGCTAGTCCAAGCAAGGCCAACTCACTAAGATTTGAATTCAAAGTCTGTCCCCTTAGTTATGTCGCTCTAACATCTCCCACCTAAGAAACTACTGCCAAAATATCAGGACATTACACAGCTGGAAGAGAATGGTTGATTTGGGGACAGTTTACCCCTTTGAACATGCACATCTATTTAAAACTATGCTTATTTATGACAAAAAGTGCATGTATACACATTTATCGACCAGCTCTGAAAGTGAGATGCCTTTTCAAGGGCGTTGCTTTCAAAATCTTTCCTGAAACTCATTGCCCAGGGTGGACAGTGGCATATGCCTGTAACCCTGGCACTCTCATAATCCCCAAGAGAGTTGCCTTAGCCTTGTGTTTCCCTACCTAGAAAGTGGGTCTAACAATAGTGCCATATCCTAAAGTGAAGGAGATGCGGTGCTACGGTCCACATAAATGGCTAAGCACAGTGCCTGGCAAGGAGCAAATGCTCGGCAAATGGATTTCATTATTTGGATGTTAGCCTCTATGTGTCTCCAGAACGCGTCGCCCAGTGACCACAGAAAGCTTTCCCCAGAGTCGCTGCCAACTCCTTAAGAACATCTCTACCTATGGTCCAACCAGAGCACAGTGACATCAGCCACCTGCTTCCCTGGACCCTAGCTCCGGAGGTAGTCATGCCACACTGCTCAGGCCCCAAAACAGGGCAGGCGCAGTCTCGGGTTCGCAACAGCACAAAACTTAACCCAGCTTTCTCACTTGAATGAACTCCAGTAGGAGGCAACACCAGGCTGGGTGGGAAAGGATCCCAAGCTGAAAGAATGCGGGCGCCAAGCCAGGAAGGGCAGCACTTCCACCTGCCAAGCGCCAGGGTGGGCAGCCCTCCACCACAGCGTCCACGGGGACTCCCACCCTGCCGCGGGGGCACGGGGACCGATCTCACAATGCCAGCTGGATGAATCCCCTGTACATCCTCTGAAAAGCATCGCCAAGGTTCCTAGGGGAGTGTAGGGGGCATCCAGGTGAAACGAGACCTCCCGGGTGCGCGTGGGAAGTGCACAGAACCCAAGTCGGGGCGCCACAGCCTCCGCAGACACGTGCCGTGGGTCGCCAGCGAGTCCTGCCTGGGTCCCCGCCACCCGTTCCCGCCCCGCGCTGCACTCACCAGGTGAAGAGTTTGCCTCGGATTCTGCTCAGTAGGCTGCCGATCGTGCCCATGGCGCCCAGCGCCTGGGGCTCCGTGGCCCCCGCGCTCGCCGGCGACTCGGCCTCCATGGGGTCCCTACGAGACTCGCGTGCCCGGAACCCCGCGAAGTGCCCCGGCCCGGAAGACAGGAGGCGGCGCCTGTGAGGACGGCGCGGACTCGGCCCGCGCCCTGCCTTGCTCTCCTGCTACGCTCGCTTGCCTGCTCGCTTGCGTCCCCGCGCTCCTCCGCCCGGCCCGTGCGACAAATCATTAACTGTCAGGCCCTTAGGGCCAGACAATGCTTTTGCAGATCATCACCTGGCTTCTCAGGGAAGCTGGGAAGCTGGGGGAGAAAGGGCAGGTTTGTTTTCTCAGCTAACGTCAGTGCTGGGTAGGACACGATGTAAATGACACAGTGTAAATTTAAGGGATTAGGGGGTTGGGCTTCCCCCCTCCCCCGGGTGGGTGGAGTTGATTTAACTAGTTTGTTTGACCCAAGGTCTCAGTCTGTAGCCCAGACTACCCTGAAATTCACTATGTAGCCGAGGCTAACTTCGAACTCCCAGCAGTCTTCCTGCCTCAGCTTCTAGAGGGTTGGGATTTACAGGCCGACACTACTACGCCCAGCGCATTTCAGGATTTCATGGTTCCTTGTTTGAAATCAGCAAACGAGGTGATCTGTTAAAAGGTTCCCTTGGCTGGTTCCCAGCGTGTCCTACAGGACGCAGCGAATTGGTGCCAGCCTGAACTTTGCTGGCTGGAAGGACCCACTGACCCCTCCCCTGTCTCCTGGTCTCCTTCCCTCTCGCTGAAAGAACTGAAGAAAAGCTACAGTTTCTTTTCCTCACAAAACAAAAGTGTGTCTTTGTGGCGAGGCAAGTCTGTCTTGTGGGTGTGCTGTGTTGCCTTGTCACACTCAGCGTTGTCTTGGCCTTGGCCTCGCCTTCTGATACTTGGATGGATCCAGAAGGGACGAGAGGGAATAAAAAGTGGGGTTGGAAATTTCCTGGGTCTTGCAGACTGAAGGAAGTCTGGGGTGCTGATTAAACACTTTTCCCTGAAAGAGACCAGGAAGATGGATGAAACGGTGTTGAGACCAATCCCCACCCACTCAGCCCCACCCCAACCTTCTTTTTCCGTGGATAAAGGAACATAGTAAACAGTGGATTCTAGAAGACTGGATGCCAGAGAGCAGGTGGTTCTGTAAGAGACACTAAGAAGAGCCAGATTTTAAACCAGCTGGTAACTCAACACCCTTAATCGCAGCTCCTAGAACCTAGGAGGTTGAAGTAGGAGAATCGCCTTGAATTGGAGGCTAGCCCAAAATAGTGTAGTTCTAGATCACCCTGAGCTAAAGTGAAACCCTGCCTCAAAACAACGAGGTGGGGGTGTGGCTCAGCAGGTAAAGGTGGCTGAGGTCAAGTCTATGTTCCATTCCTAGAAGCCACACGGTGGATGGGGAGAGTGGACTCCAGCAAGTTGAACTCCACATCCAGGCAGTAGCACACACAAACACACAATACAATCCATGTAGAAAATTTATTTTATAAAAAACGTAGATAAGTTTTGAAAACTGTAGCTAAAAGAGCCACAACTTTTCCAATTATAATCACTGCAAAGCTTAAATGGTTTTGTTTGTTTTTGCCTTTTTGAGACAAAAATATCACTCCAGAGACCAAGCTGGTATGAAACTCAACTATGTAGCCCAGGCTGGCCTCCAATTTAGGACAGTCCTCCCAAGGTCTGAGGCATATATATCACAACTTTTTCTAATTTTATTTACTTATTTTGGTTTTTTGTTGTTTGTTTTGTTTTGATATTGGGTCTCTAAATAGCCCTAGCTATTCTGGAACTCACTGTGTAGACCGGGCTAGCCTGGAACCCACAGAAATCCACCTGCTTCTGCCTCCCAAGTGCTAGGACACACCCAACTATTTTTTCTAACTTTAAAAGGACTTAATCAAAGTTTCTATACAAACACTTGGAAAAAAATAGACTGGGCCAAATGGTTATAAAGTCCTCAGGATAAGTTGAGACTGGATGAAACTATAATTGTTAAAATAAATATTATCATAAAATATGTGTTGAAGTCAATGACAGATTGCTTACTCCATACTTGAGGCTCTAGGTTTATCTTCAGACACAAAGATGCAGATAGGTAGACAGACAGAGAGATGATAGATTGATAGATAGATGATTGATAGATAGATAGATAGATAGATACTTTGTTTACTTAGATGGACAGGTGTATTGTGTGTGTGTAGATAGATAGTTGAAGGTAGGGAGGAAAACTCAAAACTAGGTGACCAAAGAAGCCTGTCTGAATATTAAAGAACAACTTGAAGCCTTCTGAGAACATCAGAAGCATGTGTAGAAGCTTGGAATATGGCTCAGTTGGTAGAGAGGGTCTGGGTTCAATCACCAGTATTGAAGAAAACCAGGAGTGGTGACACATGCTTATAACCCCAGAACTTGGGAGGTAGAGGCAGAATGATAAACTCAAGGTGAGTCCAGAGCCAGTCTCTAGTTGGATGGGGTGATCAGAAGGACTAATGAACAAAAGCCATTAAACTCTACATATTGACAATGTGGAAGTTTTGGAAATTGTGGCCTAGGCCTTTAATCTTAGCACTTGGGAAACAGAGGCAGGTGGATCTTTCTGAGTTGATGCTAGCTTGTGTTACATAGCGAATTCTAGGACAGCCACAGTGCTACACAGATTCTCTGAAAGAAAAGAAGAGAAAAACCTGCAATGTGGAGGAATTTCACCTGAACCCTGTACTCACCTATGTACTTCTAAATGACACAGTACAAAGAAACACCTTCCCCATATGATTGTATAAGAACAAAAAACGACCTTTCAGATTCCCAGTCTTACTTCATAAATGACAAACTAAACCACCTATGCCCAATGACTAACCAGAACAAAGTACTTGTTAACCAAATTTTGTTTTTGTTTGTTTGTTTGCTTAGGTTTGTTTTGTTTTGTTTTGAGACAGGGTTTCTCTGTGTGACCCTGGCTGTCCTGGAACTTGCTCTGTAGATCAGGCTGGCCTCCAACTCAAGAGATCTACCTTCCTCTGCCTCCTGAGTGCTGAGCCTAAAAGTGTGCACCACCTCCTGTCTGACTGTTGTTGTTTTTAATTTATTTAGAACTAGAGTATCCCTATGTCACTGAGGCTGGCCTAGGAATCATGATTCTCCTGCCTCATCCTCACGAGTGCTGTAATTATACAATTAGCACCACACTCAGCTTTGACCCAAGTTGAATTTTGTCTTCTAGCCCCGGGCCTCTGAACTTTCACCTTCCCTGAGCCACTTTGTCAGAAGATCCCTTCCTGAGAATAGGCCACTTCAGGGTAAAGCTTCTCCATCCACTGTCAGTCCAGCTGTCCTTCTCTGCCAACTCCCTTGAGTCTCAGGATTGACACCACCCCCCCCCCAAGTAACTCTTGTACTTTTTTATGTGTGACAACAGAGAAAGGTATGGGCTACATCAGTACACATAACCTTAAAATAAGGCCAGGAAGGGATTTCCCAGTGGAAAAGTAGTTACCTAAAATGAGCTAACCACTGCCTGGGGCTTCTAGATTCTATCTGCAGACCAACACCTGCCTCCACTCCCTAAAAAATGTGTGGGGGAATGAGTGGTAAGCAGAGGAGAAATTTTTTAAATTTTAAAGAAAAGGAAAATTACCAACAACAACAAAAAATCAATGTGTGTGCTGGGTCCTGGTGGCCAACCTTTAGACCCAGGCAGGGGCAGGTGGATCTCTGAATTCAAAGTCAGCCTGGTCTACAGAGTGAGTCCAGGACAGCGGGGGCTCCACAGAGAAACCCTATCTCCAAAACAAAACACAAAAAGCCAAGATTTGGGGCTGGAGAGATAGATGGCTTAGCCATTGAGAGTACCAAGCTGCTCTTTCAGGGGAAAGTCACGCACAACCATCTGTAACTGCAGTCCCAGGAGATCCAAGACTGCCAGTCACTCACATGACACACAGACACACATGCAGACAAAACACCCATACACATAAAATAAATAACATAGATCTTTTAAAAAGAAGTTCAAATGTGTTAGATTGGATGATGTCCCCCTGAGGCCCCTCCCACCACCTCCATCCACCTCCAAATGTGGACTGGATCTGTAGAACCTACAGCAGTTCTCTCACATAGCAAAAGGGACTTTGGAGCTCTGACAAAGATCTACATCCTGAGATGGGGAAGTGATCCTGTATTATCTAGTGAGCCATAAAAAAGTGTCCTCACAGAAGGAAATGGGACATGGGAAAGGTGGGGGGTTCACCAGAAGAAACTCCATAAGGGGACTGGGTGTGATACACTTTCATACAAGTAGCTGCTCCAAGCTCAGAGCCTCCAGAAGAAACAGCCTTGACAACTTTAGGCTTGATAGTAACAACACAAAACCAATCTTGAACCTCTTGCCTGCAGAAAATCAAAGGAATAAATAAATTCGTCCTACCTTAATCCACAAATTGATAACAACTTGTGACAGCAACTGGGGCGGCATAGGATACTTTGTAAAGATCAGGTTCTACTGTCAGTGAAACAAGCAACCTGCAGAGAACCTGTGCATCATGAAAGGCACCAACAAAGTAACTACACATCTTTGTATCTACACATGCACTAGACACATATTCGCACTTGCTTCTGTTTACATGACCTGGGAGAGTAAGGCAAATGGGTATGCTGGTGACTCTGTTTTTGGTCGTGAGCCTAGACTTTAATGGCTGTGCCATCTCTCCAGCCCACTGGTGACTCTTTGTAGTGTCAACACTTGGAAAATTGGGGCAGGAGGCTGCCTCTCCCCAGGAGTTGGGATCCAGCCTGTGCACCATAGTAGCCTCCAACTCAAAAGGAAAACAAAACCAAAACAAACAAACAAACAAAACCCAAACTGAAGCCACCCTGTGGTAGAATGAGCCTGTACTCCCAGCACTTGGGAGATAAAAAGGTAGAGTCTAGTATGACCCAGCCTACTATGGAGTTCCAGGCCATCAAGAACTATATAGCTAGAAGAGGGCTAAAGTGGAAGGGCACAGGCCAGGCCATTGAGAATGGTTAAATCAGGGGCAGATTCAGGAGTGGGATGGATGAATAAAAGAAGAGAGGTTGCCTTATCTGTCTTCATCTTGTGTAAGGTTGGGTTCAACATCTCACTCCAAGGGGAAAATGAGGCCAGGAAATGGAGCAATCCAGTACACTGGATTGTAAAGTTACACTGTGGGGTCCTCCCCAGAAAGCAGCACTTCCTTCCTAGCTTTGTTCCACAGTGAGCTCATCCCTGACTGAGGAGTATTGATCAACCTACATTATTTTGGTATCAGGATTAAAAATATTGAGTTGATCTGTGGGCACCAATCCACAAG